CTCCACTGTCCTGACGGGTGTGGGCCTTAAGACACCTTCTTTTGCTTGTTCTCTATACATTAGTGAATGGGTGGGAACCACCTCGCTAAGGCAACTGCTTACCTAGGAAAACTGAGCTGCAACAGGGAAGCTTTAATACCATCTAGCACCACCCGACAATACTGATGTGCTCTGGATGCTTCCCTGACAGTCAGCATAAATACCATTGAATGGAACGCTCTACTACTCTTTCTAGCCATGGCTCTTGGGGCAAAGCATAGTCCACCACATATCACCAAGAACAGCCTTTCCCTCTACTAAAGATGGGACAGGGCTGTTTTTCCTCCACCCTGTTACTCCTAGAAATGACTGCTTTCTGACTGGTTTCTAATTCCTGCCCTCACCTTACTTTCGGTGTGGAGAGACTCAGCTTGCCCACAATGAGTTCTGTTGCTTTGATTCCCCACTAGTACCTCACAGAAGATCAAGACGGCTTATAACATTTAGCCAGTGATGTGGAATGGAACATTTCTCCAACAGAACATTTCCCATTTATTAAAAAAAAGTCCATAAAATGAATTAGTAACATAAAGAGCGAGCAAGGCAGCAGTCAAACTGGGCAGTTTTGAAGTTCTAATTAACTTCTTCTGGAGTTGAGCCTCAAGAAATACACATAAAATAAATACCAATGCAGAGCTCAGTGGGTATGGTAAAACCAATATATTAATCTTTTCCCCATTATCTTCCTAACCTTCCTCTAAATTCAAACAATGTGTGCGAGTATACACTGTAGAGTTCTCACATCCTAAAAAATTTCAAAAATAGCTTTCGAGCAAAGCTTTGGATTTATTTATTTAGGGATATTCTCCCCCTCTTAATCAAACATTTCAGTTCAAATACTTTCAGCTCTTAGAAAAACTTCATATATTTATACAGCATGTGGAATTAACCCGGTATGCTTTTTTACGTTCACTCGCTAAGTATGCCACATATGTTAAACCAGATCCCAATAGATTTGGAGGTTTGATTTCTTGCTGCCTCAGAGAAAATTTTTGAAAAAAAATTGCATCACTGGTTGCAACCTGAAATCTAACCAACTCATTACTGGGGCAACCTACAACCTCCTCCTCCTCCTTTAGCAGTATTTTCCCCCATCCTCTCCTAGGCTAATAGCACTTCTCCATCCCACCTTACTGAGGCTCCCAACCTGAACTCTGCTTCTATGCACTGAATCTGCCTTACTTTTATTCTTTTGCACTGTTGATATGTGTAGTGAGTTGGACCTCTGCCCCAAGGTAGATGGGTTTTGGAGTCCTTCTTAGCATCATAGCCAAACGTTAACAACTGTATGTTAATTTGTATTAGTGACTTATTTTGATCTCCTCCCCATTAGCTTGCCAGTCTGAGGCTGGAAAAAGATGTGAAGGCTGAGAAGGAACTGGAGGAAGTATTATTAACCTGCGTGCAGAGTTCTCACAGCTATGGCAGAGAAGATGGGTCATGCTTGTACACTTTTTTTGTTTGCTTCTACACACACACCTCAAAAAAACCTGCCTGCAGCAGCTAAATGTTTAGTCAGGGAGGGTGGGGTTGAGTGAT